TTAGTAAATCTTTGCTATAAAAGAAACAAGATTCAAAGAAGATAACATTCTACCTTCTATCCATCTTTGTAGCTTTTGTATATTTGTAATGCTAAAAAAATAGAAAACCAACAATCAATAGATTCAACCGAAGAACTTTCACTTGTTGTCTTATTAGATGAGATATTGTAATTGTCACAATCTTCAAGATAATGTAATCAAGATGAAGATCTTCTATAACAACATGTCCTTTCTTTGATAGATGGTAAGATAGAATGTGTTTGGTATCATGACCTTAGAAGAGATTTCAAATATTTGATGATTTTATTAGAGATAGGAACAACTCTTGTTATGTGTCTTAGAAAGTCAACATATTTTGGAAGTCCAATAGGACATTGTTATATAGCTCCTAATTAAAAGTATATATGGAGACAAGAATGAAGTCTTCTTCACTCTTATTAATGTCTTTCTAATCCTTAGTCTTGTTTTAAGACTTTCTAGTCTTTTTTTTTTTTAGCAGTAGCCATTCTAATTCAGTATTATATCATCTTTGAGTGACTTTCTAGTTCTTTTTAGTAATACAAGAGTGTATTGAGGATTTCTTTCTTGGAGATTCATGTTTTTGATAGTACTATTTATAATCTTGAAAGAAATATAAAAAATAAACATGGTCATCTACTAATTATAAAATTATTATTTAAAGCTTATATTAGAAAGATTAGAGAATAGCCTTAATTTTTATTATTTGTATTATGGATTGATAAAAAAATTCATAGTTCAATAATAAGATATATACCTCTTGATTTTATTATAAGTCAAAAATATATTATACCAATTGAAGAAAAAGTATCCATTTAGAGTATGTTACTATAGTAAGTTGAATTGATAAAAAAAGAAATTTTAGTTGTTAGAATTCAACAACTTGAACAAAGACCAAAAGATGTGCAAATAACATTAGAAAGGTTAAAAAAAAAAGGTTACTAAATAAGGTACAATTTAATAAGAAATATTTATTCAGATCTAAAAAAATTGAAAAATGTGATTGGATTTTTTTCTATGATAGTAGCTTGAATAATCAACAAAGTATTTTAAAGAAATTTTTCTAAATAATATTTTGGACCATATGTAGTAACAATTATTAATCATGATGCAATTTATTTATTACAAGGATTTAGATAGAATAAGGTGAAAAATACTAGTTGTTGAGAAGCAAGTAAAGATATTCAAACAAAGACATATAAAAATGAAATATAGAAGATCTTAAAAAAGTCAAAATCTTTTAAGACAAGAAGATGATTTTGACTTGAATAGCAAAAATGATGAAGAAAAAATGGACAAAGACATAGAGAAGAGAATATGAATCAAACAAAATTTGGATTATTTGATGCATACTAGAAGATGCATAATTTCAAAAGAGGTAGATGTTGTGTGATAACATGACTATATGGTGAAAAATAAAAATATAGATATTATTGTGGAATAAACCTAATAGAAGATATAATAAAAAAATAAGAATAAATGATAGAAAGGTAGTAAAAAATTTAGTCTTAATATTATTTTTTATAAAAAAAAACTTCTATTTATTTTGTGACAGCATAAATATCTCAAATAAAAATAAATAAGTTTATTTATTAATAAAAATATATTTAAAAGAGAATTGATAAAAGATTTAAGTAAAATCACTTTGAATTACTAAAAATAGATACCATGAGAGGACAAATTGTGAACCTAGGTCAAAATCAGATCCTAATACACAAATCCATGCACCTACAGTGATTCTAAAATATATTTATTAGTTGGAATAAAAAAATTGAGAGCAAACTTGAAAAGAGATTTTTAAAATTTGGTTTCATGTTATTTGGATTAATATTAAGGTTTTGAAGGATTTTCAGAGTTAAAGATGTATTTGATGGGTTTCAATTTTGAGAATAAAAATAAGTTTACAAATTTGAAGATATTGTGAGTTTTGTAGCATATGTATAAGTAAAAATTTAGGAATTTGTTATTACATTAGTTGCAAATGTGTGTAAAAATTTGAGATCAATTATAAGGTTCAATTGAAGAGTACAAGAAATTGATGGATTATGGATTCAATAAATAGGGTTTAAAAGACCAATGAAGATTTTTTAAATATTTATAAATCTGCTAGTTGGATTGAAATATTATTTTTTTCAATGGTAGCTAGCTTCACTTGCAATAATTTTACAAATTTTGAAACAAATTAAATGATAAAATTAAGAGATTATAGCTCAAGTATATCAACATCAAGGTTGGAGAAGGAAGTTGGCTGATACCTAAGCAAAGTTTTGGAATTATTGCCTATTTTGTATGTAATATTTTTGAATTTTTTTTGTAGTTGTTGCTAATTTAGTTATTGCAAAGTTTGAAATTTTTGAATCAAATTAATACTTCAATCATAAGTTATTAAATTTTCAATCTGTTGTAGAATTTGTTATAAATTTGTTTAAGATTTAGAATTTGATTAAAGTTTATTTAAGATTGGTTTAATATCTAGGATTTGATTAGGATTTGGTTAAAATTAAGATTTCAAATTTTATTAGAATTTGATTAGAATTTAGGATTTTTATAGGATTTTATTAGGATTGATCTAGGATTTAGGATTTGATTATGATTTGGTTAGTATTTAGGATTTTATTAGAAATTCATTAGAGTTTAATCTAGAAATTGATTGAAGTTTATTAGGATTTTAATTAGGGATTCAATTAGAATTTTTTTAGAATTTGACCTAAGATTTTATTAATATTCCTAGGATTTTAAATAGAATTTTGATTAGGATTTAATTAGAATTTGATCTAAGATTTTATTGAGATTCATTAGAATTTTAATTACCACTAAATTAATATTTAATTAGGATTTATTTAGGATTTATTTAGGATTTATTTAAGATTTATTTAGAATTTTTTTTTAATATTTCTTTAAAGTTGATATAATTTTTTTAAGATTTATTTGTATATTTTTTTAGGATTTTTTTGTTATTTTCTTTGAGATTAATTTATGACTTCTTTATATTTATTTTTTAATTTTTTTAAATTTTAATTTGGATTGATTAAAATTAAAATTTTAAAGTTTATTTAAGACTACTTAAAGTTTATTTAAGACTCTAATAGACTTGATAAGATTGTTGTTGCATTTCTACTTATCTTTTATAGTTAGATGCTTGATGCATTTTCAAGAAAGAATACATGTAATATGACAATGCTCAAAACTCAAGAAAGTATCAAATAATAATAATAATAATAATCTTGGACCTAAGCCGGATCCCTATTTGCATTCTAGAGGCCTATAATAGCTAGCTTGATACTCAAATATTGATATCCAAATCTATGAATATCCTATTGTTGATTCTTGTATCCCATTCTATGGATATGATTTTGAATATCATTGTATTTTATATGTTATAGCTCTAATATATCTAAATTGTAATAGGATTATATACATATAATATATGGATCTTAACATCTACACTAGCTTTAAAGATTTGTTTGAAGAAAATAATAGTAACTAACAGTAAGAATCATAACCAAAAAAATGTAAGATTATAAAAAAAATTATAATTTATTAAGCATAAAATTTAAGAAAAAATAAAAATAATAATATGTATAAATATTAAATTTTTAATAATTTTTAATTTACAAGAATAATATATATTTATATTCATATTCATATTTAAATTATTTAAAGAAATTTTTACTAACTTGACATAATTTTTAATAATTAAAAAATATACAAAACATATTTATTCTTTTTTCTGTTACACAAAAAATATCATAAGTAAAGATCAAATTTAGATTAGAAAATTAAATACTACAAATGAGTTAAGAACTTTTTAAAATTTCTAAAATTAAAAGAAAATTTTAACATAATTTTATATAAATATACTTTAATCCATATTAAGACTAAAATTGAAATTCTACTTGATGATTTAGTTGTTTTTAAATATAACATTTAAACTCAAGCAAGAAAAAAATCTTCATAAAATTACTTATTGGTTTTTTGAAATTTTTACATTATCCACTAATTCTACAGAGCTAGACCTTAAATTAAAAGCTTAATACTATGGATGATTTAAATTTTAGAAACCAAAATTTTAGAATATTATTTTTCTGTAATATAATATTAAATTAGAAAATTCCAAAAACTTTATTGAAGTTTTTTACTTTATTTTTTAGTATTTTTTTCAAAATAACATGTTTTGTTAGAATTACAAAATAATTATGGTTCATTTTTTAAAAAATATATTATGCATTTTATATTTTTAATCTACTTACCTCCTATTTAAAGTAGTTTGAACATTGAAGTGTCATTTTTTCTATTATTTATAAGTTAGTTTTATCCAAAATAGTGTCTTTCATAGCTTATATCTACTTATGTATATTACGACATAAATAAATTATTTAAATAATTATTATTCTATTCCGTGTGTTTCTGCTATATGACAATTACAGGAGTTATGACAATTACAGGACAATTATGTTGTATAACTTTTTAAAACAAATGTACAAATATCAGAAGAAAAAAAATAAAAATAAACTTTATTTTTTAAATATTTAAATTAGAAAAAATAAAAACTCAACCCTAATTATTGTAAGTCTTTTGAATTTTTGGATTACACAAACTACTATTTCTACTAACAAGAAATAAAAACTATAAAATAAATTTGAAAAAATAAAATAAAATTCAACTGGGCAACATCCCATATTTACTAATATTTGAAGTTATAATTCTAAAAAATGACTAATTAATGTTGTTTTTAATGAGCTACTTTATGAATTTGCATGAGGAAAGACTTAAATACACAACACATCGACAATGTGTTGAAGAAAGAGCAAGAAGCTTTTTCTTTTCCCCCTGCCGAAGAAAAAGCTTCTGATGAAATAGACAATATTACAAAAGAGGTTTTGAAGATTCAACTCTTTGATACAAAGCGATCCCGGAAGGTTAAGTTGGCTCAAGTCATGTGGACCAATAAGAGGCAGATTTTCTAGACAAAAAGAAAGATGAAGCATTATAGACTTCCTTGCTCAAGGATGTTCTCGTGGACCACTTGCCCATTTTCATTCAACAATCCTGTACCAGAATGAACATTCATGGATTCCTTGAGGGTGACACAATAGAGTACTGGACTTCATGACAAATCTGACTATGGTGATCCTTCAGTACTAATAGGAAATGAGACTTGAGCAGAGAAAGCATGTTGTTCTAGTCACCATTCTGACTGACCGACAACCTGTGTGCTTGTGTAGTTCGTACATTGTCTTGCTTCAAGGTTACACCTCTCCTACACATAGTCTTCTATTTCATTCTACAGTGGCTTGCTCATAACCATTGGGTAAGTTTCTTACATGGGCAAGAGAGTTTCTCCTGTGCTTACAGGAAATTGTAACTAAACTGCACCTTCCACCATGCTGTCTGCAAAGGCAATTACAGAAGAAAAGAAACTAAAAGAAATCAAGGACCAAGTGGTGAGAGGTAACAAAGGATCTTGATCACCAAACAGGAAGAGAAGCAGCATGGAACTAAATTAGAATTTATGGAGAATTTGTCTTCTGCAAATTTTCCTGTCACTTCACTGATCAGGATGCATCGCCAAGGGATAATTGAATTGAATGAATGGAGATGGAACTCCTACGGCCAGATTTTAACCAGAATTTTGTAATTACTTTGTCCTAAGTGGGGAGCAGCGCATCCTCTTGTGTTTTACTTCTCAATCCATTTGGTGTATGTAATCTCCGCATACGAGGTGTATATGAATGTAAAGATGGAATCTTGAAGCAGCCATCATCAAAAATCCGCCTGCACTTTGATAAGCGGTTAACCTGCAATCTTGATTTTTCTATCTCAAAAGGAACTCCACAGATTCCGCTTGACCTTCGGTGCATCAGGTGCATCTGGCTGCCGGGGCATCATCTTTCAACCTCTGCAATATTACCAGTGTCGCTTGGTAAGGCATATGATTGATTTGATCTACGTACTAATTCACTTTGACTGTATATCTTTATTACCATTCAATAATTTGGCGGACTTTCAGCTGAACTGCCTTCCAGGGTTTTTCTCACCATTGTTTCGCTCAAGAAATTGATGAAATGAACTGATAAAAATAAATAAATAAATAAATAAATAAAAACCATGGTTTGAATCGCCAGTGTAGAGAAATATGCATTTATGTAATTAAGATACCTCGAGGTTTCTTGATTTTGCGGCTTGTTTCGTCGACTCTGGAGTCTGATGTAGCCCCAATGGCGGTGATTTTTCTGTGATCGTAGCCCTGGTGACGTTACGAGCCTTCAATCTAGTAAGTAGAATCCTAATGCTTTACGATTGTACCGCTATCAAGTCATTTCTTTTCTCTGATTGATTTATACTGCCAGTTCGATGGCTAACATTCACATGTATTCGACCAGCATCCAGCCGAATGTTTGTTCTTTGACAATTATTGGCAGATCCTGCTTGCCGCTTTTCTATGGTGAGTCGCCCATCTAGATCACTCATTGGCTTCCGTTCCTCAACGACATTGAGAGGTCCATGTAGTTTGTGCTGCCTTTCAGCAGAGTCTCGAAAGCCCCTTGACCCATCTCTCACGGAGCTCCCTCCTTCAGAGCTGCAGAAGCCTCCGCTGCCTCGATCTTTCTCAGATCGTGGAGGTGTTTTTTGAGTCTCTGATGAGTGAGTAGCTTTAGGGTGTAAAGGTTCCCTTACTGAACTGTGCATACCTTTTCTGATTATCTTTCTAGGAGAGATCCCTGTCTTCGTGGGTGGAAAATGTTGGTTCTCAGGCATTCCTGGGGTGCTCTGGACACGATCCATGGCTCCGTCAGTCGTCGACTGACTTATAGATTGACTTATCGACTGACTCATCGATTCAAACTCGTGTCTCTCTGTTACGTCGCCCCTTCTGTTATGTAACTGGGACATGTTAGGCTCTTTGCATTCTTTAGGCGGTTGGCAGTTGTTCCCAAGACCTTGACCATCTCGCTTACTAGAGAACATCCTGAAAACCTTGACAAGCTCAGAACCAAGAGCAGCGCATTTTTTGTCTGCCACTGCTGCTCCATCTAGTGAAGATTGTACTCCCGCAGTCACATGCTCTACCTTTTTATCCAATAATCTGGACATAAAGAAGAGATTGATTGAATATCAACAAATAGGTATTGTATTCTGGAGAGTATCGTGAGGAATAATCTCAATTTTTATGATACTAGAGTGGGCTTTGATTATTACCTTAAATTGTTGAATGTCGCGGAAGCAACATGCTCGATGCGGCTATCAAGATTATCAATTCTGAAACTGAGGTCTGGATTTGGGCCTGAAGTCACCATTTCATTGCGCTCTGCCGCAATAATCTCCACCCTCCTGCATATTTAACAGAAATATCTTACTGAGTATACTTATCGCCTGTGGATTGAGGTTTCAGCTTTCAATCTGAAAGAATTCCGTGAGCGGTCTGGAGGATATTGAGAACCTTCGAAGAGCTTCAACACTCTGGCTCAAGTCGTTAATCAATGGCAGATTTTCATCCTTTCCACCTTTGCTAGTTTTCTCAATGTATTCCAGCTTCAGCGACAAGTTGGAGTCATTCTGGCTCACAGATTTCTCCAACTCATTCACTCGACTCTCCAACGTCGCAATTGCCTGATTAAATTTGCAAAAAGAATTGTTACACTCAAATCATATCCACCTTCAAATTGTACGAAACTTAGCAGATAATGAAGGAATCAAGGCATATTGAACTCTTGCATGACAATTGGAGCGATCTCCACTATCAACTCTCCCCAACAATCCCTCCAATTCAATGCTGATGTCCTTCAAGTGGGAGCTGATCACCATGTCCTTCATTCCGTTCACCTTCGTCTCAGCAACACGGGCAATTTGTTGCATCAGACTTTCACCACCACAAGTGAACTGAAATTGCTCATCAATGCGCTCAACTTTTGACGACAGCTCATTCACGATCTTCGCTGCAGCTTCATACTTCGGAAGCCAAATTGCAGCTGTCTTCTCCAAGTCACCTGTGCTGCTCCGCACATCATCGTATGACCTAACCAGATCGACTTGCATGCTCTCCATCACCTCAACGCGTTTGCAAAAATCGGATTGCTCGCATGCTGATTCCTTGAACCGTTCCTCCAGCACTTGCACCGTTTGTTGCAACTGACTCAGGTCACCCTGCCAATTTCTCTTAAACTGCTCCAACTCTTGCCGTTTCACTAATAAACGCTGATGTTTGTCCTCCCGTGCATCTTGCAATTGTCGCACCGACTTGGCGAGGTTATCCAACGCCAATTGTGTCTGCATAGCATTCCTCACAATAATAAGGCTAAGATATTCCCATGCAAAAACCACAAGATATTAATTGCACAATGCTTCTTACGAGCCCTCTCACCTTCAAGATGTATTCCTCCATATCGGCCTGGATGCGATCCGGTTGCGGACAAGACAAGGCAGCCTGCTCTAAGACCGTGCACGCCCGTCGTTGCTCCTCTTCAAGTCCCCGGGTAACCTCCTTAGCCCGCACGATTTCGGCATTCATGTCATGCTTCCAATTGTTGACTGCAAGCGCCAACTCTCCACTAAACCGATCCTGTACTTCTTGGCTATGTTGCAAAGCAATTTCTCGCTCCATTAAAATCCTCTCCTTCTCCCGCTCCAATCCTTCCTGCAGCTGCATATTGACATGTCTCGCTTTCGTCATCTCACCATTGAAACTCCCGGACACGTCCGCCAGCACTTCCCCGGCCTTCATGGCCACAAACTTCGCTTCGTTTGCAGCTTGCGACGCCGCGTCGCGCTCCCGCTGCACCGCGCTGACAGCCTCCACAATGACGGAGCTCTCCTTCCTCAGCAACTCATTCAGCTCCGAATGTTTCGCCATCGCGGACGAGGCGACGAGCCGCATCTGCTCCTCCTCCCCGGCGAGCTCTTCCCGCGTTCGGCGAGCGTCGGAGACGACACTGCGAAGCATGTTTTGATGGAAGGCGAGGTGGTCCTGGAGCTGAAGATGGATGCGCTGCACGTTGCCTACCTCGGTGTCGAAGGATTTGCGCATCTCGTCCAGCATCTCCTTCGCCTTCGTCGCCGACACTGTGGCTTCCGCTGCGGCTCTCGTCGCAACCTCCCCCTGCTTCTCGGCCATAGACGCCGCTTTGGTGAAACACTCCGCACCTTCGTGGCATCCCAGTAACTGGCCACCCCTCACCCAAGACCGTGTTGAATGAATATCCTCTTGGTACATTCATTGGTACTTTCATTTAGAATAGTTAAAAATATTTAAATGAAATATCTCAAAGAAAAATTCGATTTTTTAAAAAAATACTCTCATAGATGTTTAATTTTTTAGCATTGTAGATGAAGATTTCAATTTTTGAAAATTGTGTTGTTAATTAGATTAATATAAAAAATACAATATATATTTATTTATTTATTTATTTATTTATTTATATTATATAATATAATATAAGTATAGTGATTTGTTTTATTTTATTTAATGTTATTTACATTAGAGTCTTCGATTTTAGTGCGTAAGTTTTCCATTTCTTGCTTGAGTGAGTTAGTCACAAAAATCAATTTGTTGTCAGCACTTTGTAAACATTCATCTAAATTCTTCTTCAACATATTTAAGATTTCAGTTTTATTGGTTGCAAAAATTGTCATGAATTGATGTTGAATAGTTTCATTGTCTCTTTTGAGTGTGCTTTTGATATGCTCTTCTTCATCGTCTACAATCTTCCCAACCTCAATTCGAATGTTTTCAAGTCCATTTGTGAGCATCTATCAATTCATTGGTAAAGTATAAACAAAAGACTTACTTAACAAAAAAATCTTTAAATAATTTTGAATTAATAGATGTAATCTTTGTTTCAATTTTAAATTTAAAAACACACACACACACAAAAACAAGCAGTAAAACTGCACATGCAAACAATTGAATCTTAAAATGATTCTACTAGTAATTTTTCAACTTAAAAAACTCACTTGTTTTGCAAACATTGAGAAATGTTTTGCAGCAAAGCATTCTTGGTTTTGTTTGAATTCCATCCATTGGCCTTCAAGTTCATCCATACGATGGCGACATTCAATATTAAGATGGGAAACATTAGAGCGAATTTCTTCCAAACCCCCAAGATAGAGTTGAGACAAGTTCTCAACCCTTTCCATGATCAACACACGTTCTTGGGTGCCTTGTGTATTTGCCACATTCCATGTTTTCTCCAAATGAGCCTTATCCTTGAGAAACTTTTTCACAAACTTTTGCATATTTTCAACTTCAATCTGAGAAAAAAAGAAAGAAAGAAATATATATATATATATATATATATATATTAATATAACATGTTTTGATAGACTTAAATTCTAATTCCATGTGCACTACATTGAAAAATACGTAATGTGAAATTCACATATAAAAGATCATACATAATAACAATTATTTTACCATAAAAAACCTTGCAATAAAAGTATAATGCATGAATATGCACATATATATATATATATATATATATATGACACACACACACATATCTGTCTGTGTTTATGTGTGCAAAGCAAGTGAATCCAATCAAGCATGATTAGGGATTAATTAAGAACTTCATGTAAAAGGAATATTAAAAATCCCCTAACCTTCATATCATTTTGTTTAAAGTTCAAAAATTCTTTTATCAACACAATATTTTCATTAGACAATACGTTTTGATCATTGTCCACCGTGATCTTTGATGTTTTAGTTGCACTGTCAAAATTTTCAGGATGGTTTTGAATATCTAGTTTGCTTTTTGATAAATCTCTTATTTCGTTCCATAAATTTTTAATTTCACTTTTTATTGCTAGAATGCCAATATCATTTTGAAGTTGATGCTTCTCAAATTTTTTTTCCAACATCGTTAATATCTTCACAAGTTTATTGTGAACATTGAATGTCATTCAAATAATCAAAATAAGGGCATTGCTGTATTAACATTTTATATTTGAAAAAGCACACAAATAATAAAAACCTTATTTATTTATTTATATAAATTAATTAGAAGACAATCATTAAGAAACAGTAAATGTAATGTAATCCAAAGTCCAGTGTAACATTGTGTTTATCATTTACCACTCACATGATTATCATTCATTTTGTCTCTTTTCAGTAATATGTCCATCACTTCTTCAAGCTTTATTTTGATATCATTCTGCAAAACATACCTTCACTCATGAATCACCTTTAACATTTCACTTTTGTCTTATAAGGAAATTCATTTTGTTGAGAAATAACCAAACATCTTTAAACTAAATGCATAAAAATTAAGTAAATCAATAGTATTGATCATCACAAGGTATGTAAAAGCTTGCCTTTTTATCATAGTTATTTGAATACTCTTGGATAACCTTGTGAATATCAACACACAAGTCTTTATGTTCACAATGTGATGGTTCTTTGCTGAATGATAGAACAGAATTTGGACTCATTGCATTTCTCATTCTTTTCTCAATTTCATTATTGTGAACTAGTACACTATCATTTCTAATTGGCATTATCTTTGAATTCCTCATATTTTGACATGCGAGAATTTCTAAGCGTATATTAGGTTTTGAACGAGCGCAATTTGGAGGTGGACATAGATCAATGTTGGCATCTTTCTCCTGAAATTTCAATGGTTCTTCAATGTTTGTAACATTGGCCCTATTGCGATTGCAAAAGTTTTTTGAATCATGTTTAGGGTTTGTCAACTTACAATCATAAAATGAATTTGAATTCATAAAGCTAGATTTGAACATATGATCACCATTGTCAATCTTTCTAGTGGTATTTGAGGAAGGATTTGATGGACATTGAGGAACAGGTGTTAAACACTTCAACTTTTGAACATAATAAGAAAGAGGAAGAGAAGATAAAGATGATGTTGATGATGACATAGACGATATACTTGTATTTGAATATGAAATATCATGCTTGAAAGGCCGCATTCTCTTATGAGCATTAAATTCAGTGCACGCGTTACTTTGGCCATTCTTTTCTGCTTCAGAAATCGATGTATAAAATGACAAGGGTTTTGATTTTTCATTTTCTGTCAACAATGAAATTTCATTGTTTCTTTTTCTAACCTCCAATTTCAAATCAACAACATCACTTTGTGAAGTTTTTCCTCTAGCATTTGACTCATGCCTGCAACCCACAACATTGTTGAGACCCAATTTGAAGTTCTTCTTAAATTGATTATTTTTTGATTTCCTTGTGTTTGCATCTCCAAATGCCAACACATCAGCACCGTTTTCATTTCCATTTTTGTGAAAACTTTCAACCAATCCTTCAACCATAACTTCTTGTATTCTTGAATCATCCGCTTTCTCTTTTAAAAGTTTCATTTGCAAACGAAACCTCTCACAATCTTCTTTTATGCCTTTCACCCCTTTTGATTTATACATACCAAGAGCATTCACATCATGTTTTATATTATTTTTTGAATCAAATTCTTTGATGTTGTTCTGATCAATATCCACCATCGATAATCCTCTTTGTTGCGAAGTGGGTGAAAAACCCAATTTCAATGATGTTTCTAATTTTGCATCCCTTTGCACACCTCCTTTAGCACTACCAACAAATGTATCTTCACCATCTTCACTATCAATTTTATTGTTTTTTGTATTTCCTTCTACAACTATTTTCTTGCCATTTTGTAGCATTGTATTTCTTGATTCACTTTGAGATGCTCTTGAAACTTCCATTTTTGATATGTGATCATCAAATTTAGTGGAAATAGATGAAACAAGATCAAATGACTTCAAATGCCGTAGACCCTAATAATATCTCTTTTGGTGAAAAGAAATAATAGTATGTATACACATGACAAAATATATCCTTCCTAAATTAGGTTATAATTCATTCTATCATTCATGTGTGTGTGTATATATACATATATAAGAATTGAGTCAACCTTAAAAAATTGAAATAACAGAGCAGAAGGTGCACTCACTTTCTTCATTAAAAAGTGAGCATGGAATTCTTTTCTGTTTTCTTTTGAAATTTCACTTGTGAAATCAAAAAAATTAGGTCAACATGTTAATCCAACATCAGAAGTTAACCTAAACATATATGACCTAATTGTTTTAGCAACTGCTCATTTTTCTAATGCCCTAATTACCCTAAGATTAGTAGTTTCATGTGAGTGTATGTTATCAATGTATTTACATACATGAAGTGAAAATTATCCCAATACATTCATAATCAAAACATGAGGGCAGTGTATCCCAGAACAACATTCAATCACATTGACTATTACATAATTCTTTATTGAACACATAAAAATATTACTTTAAGAAATACTGTCTCCATATTTTAAGATTGTATGAAAAAATATTGTCCTAATGTTTCAAAATCTTTTTACATTTAAAAAAAGAATTAGAAGAAAAAATTAAAAATAAAAATTAAGCATTAGAAAAATTATACTTACAAACTTTCTACAAATGGGTGGTCTTTTTTGTCCTCCCTACGAATTAAAACTGTTTATTTTTCTATTTTTTATTTTGAAAAAAAACATACCTTGAAAATTTGAAGATCGAATCACAAAAATGAAAACATGAGTAGATAAATGTGTAAAAAGACATATAAAAAATTAAAAGAAGTAATGATAGCCAAAATTAAAATACAGGTATTCTGATAAATTGTATGTAACTTTGTGATGTTATACAGTGTTCAGTTAGTTAGGATTTGAGATTGAAGTAGTAATATCAAATAAATAAAAATAAATTTTTGTAAAGGAGTTCTAATATACTTACTTTTTCATAATAGAATAAATGAGGTAACAGATTTTCTTAAAAATAAAATAAAATAAAATAAAAACATATCAGCTATGCTGAATTTTGTGACAAAGAGTTTTAGAGCCAATTCAAAATTTATTGAATGTAATTTGGAATGTTATATTTCCTTTCATATATATAGAAAAATGTAAAATTAAATAAACGATGAGTCTTATCTTTGTTTTTAAAGAATGGCATGCATAATTTTATCAACTGCATATCTTAGGGTTTTCCCTATTTATTAAAAAAACAAAATTACATTTAAAATTTTATAAAAGTTAAAAAAATACATTCAAGTGATTATAAAAAATAAAAAATAAAACATAAAAACTAGTTTGAATGCATACAATAGAATAACTTTAAAATCGAATTCATAAGGAAATATATAAATAATATTTAAATCATGATTATTGACGAAATCATGAAAAATCTTTCTACAAAGAAGAAATTGCTGAATGTTCACAAAAGTGTTTCAAAAAACAAGATACATGGGTTATTTGTGTAATTTGATAACAAATTCTTTACGTTTTTGTAAATATTTTTCCAACTCAGTAAGCTTTTACTTTGTCCAACGCACTTTCATTTAAAGTAAAATCTTACATATATTCGTGACGCTAAATACCGCGTTATGACGTCGAACGCCGCCGAATGCCGCTGAAGAAACCCTTTCGGAGGAGGCTTTCACGAGCATCGATGTGTGTGGAATTCAATGAGCGTCCTCTGCGGTCAGCAAATAATTTTATTTCCTTGCTGTTCCAATTCCTTGGGCTTCAGTTGGTTCACTGCTGCGGCGAGGAGATTAGCGTGTGTATGTTTATATTTTTATTTATTTATTTTTGTAAGATCTCTACCCTTCTGTAGAGATTATGCACATTTTGAAGTATTTGTGCGCTGTTTTTTTGCAAATGAATGTCGACTGTTAACGCTTATTTGCTGCCAGTTTTCGTCGCGGCAAAGTCGATTTCCAGGTTGCAATTTGAATTTCTGGCAGGCAATCAAGGCGCTGTAGTTAGTTGCGTAGAGATTCACATCCGATGAGGTTTTCTGTTCCTAGTCCAAGGAATTGAATTTTGCCAGGAAGACACGTAGAACACACCGTTTGAAGAACGCTTTGGAGTGTGCTTAGCTTTGATAGATCTCGTAAGGCATAGTTTTTCGAATTTTTTATATGGGCAGATCATGGAAGAAAGCACACCTCCAACATATATATTCACACACACACACACACGTAAATATAATTTGGAATGGTGAATAAAACTGACAGTAGGTTGCTGAAATAGAGCGAAGCGAATGTTTCACGTTTCCGCCCTTATGGTTACAAGGCTTGGTTTCAGCGTAGGTACTCATCAGAGTGCCATTATCATCTGCAGAAGCCAAAATACCAAACATTTTAATGGCGCTGGCTGCAGCCACAGAAGAGGTGGCTGAAACCCCTAGAATGAAAGTGTATAAACTATCTGAACTTAATACTGACCAAGTTGAAGGTCTTCGAGCTCGCCCTCGTATCGACTTCACTTCAATCTTTGAAACGGTGAGTAGCCAATTTAAGATATTGAGATCCCTTTTTGTTTGCATTGGGTGCAGCTGCTTCTCTTCACCATTTTAGATCAGCGTCTTGAACTCATTGAGTCTATGCTAGTCTCCTTATAGTCTCTCAATGGCATTAGTTTACTGATGGATACATAAGTTAGTGATCTTCAATTCTTGCTCAATGTCCTTAGGTTGGCCCTATTGTGGAGAACATTCGACGACGTGGAGACGTGGCTGTGAAAGAGTATGTTGCTACTTTCTCAAAGTTTAGAGATCCTTATTCATGCAGTGGTAAAGTAACAGTTGAAACCTGAGGAAATGAGGTGCTTAGGTTTGAGCAGAAGAGGATTTTTAAAAGCACATGAGCTTCGACAATGAGGTTATAATTTTGCTGCAGATATACAAGCCGGTTTGATCAAGTAGATCTTGAAAGTGTAGTCGTCAACGTTGCAGATCTACCTGATCCCGTGGTAAGCTACGATTCTAAGCATTTCTTTATCTATCTCAAGTTCATAGAATTTTCTAAGGAGCTTGCAAGCAAGTATTTGACACAATTTGGGAAGTCCTTCCATCTGAAGGTCCAGTATACATCTCTATTTCTCTGACTGGGAGGTGGGCTGCTGCGCAGCTTGACCCTGAGGTAAAAGCAGCATTCGACGTAGCTTATGAGAATATCAAGTGTTTCCATGCTGCCCAGCAGAGGAACCAACATCTTCAAGTGGAGACTATGCCGGTGTGTGCTGTCATATGCTATTCATACATCTTCTGCTGTTCATTTGGTTGGTAAATACTGAATGCGTACTAGTGTTACTATACTCTATAGATATCATCAAAGGGAATTGAGTTTGTTCCTTTTTAGTGAAATTGTCGTAGCTCATGCATTTCGTCTTTGGAATACTTAACTCAAGTTTTCCTTGTGTTCTGCTGAAAGGGCGTAAATTGCAGGAGAGTCCCTAGGGCTATCAACAATGTTGGTCTTTACGTTCCCGGAGGCACTGCAGTCCTTCCATCGACTACTCTCATGTTGGCTGTAGTAAGTTTTGTCAACCAAGTTCAGAAACTTCTAAAATGCTTAATGCTTACGTACTTTTGAAGACAACATTACTTTTCCTGAACATCAAGCTGAATTTGTTGTGGGTTCATATGAGATGAAGTTCTGGGATGAATACCTTACGAGTATTGCTATTAGTTACTCTTAGCCTTTTAAAATATATAGTTGTTTGTTTGTTTTGGAACCTGTAGTTCTACAAAACCTTGTCTTAAACTAGTTTCAGTGTCACCTCATAGAGTACGCCCATCTAACATTTCACCTGCTGACATTCAGCCTGCACAGATCGCTGGGTGTAAGACCGTGGTCGTTGCAACTCCTCCAAGGAAAGACGGCTCTATTTGTCCCGTAAGTTTGACATCCTTGCAGGCATGATAATCTGCGTTCTTTCGGTTTAGAGATGCTGTGCAGGGATCTTATCTTTCTCGGTGGGCACTTTCAGTTCGTAGGACAGAAAATAATCATTGATCTAACGAGGATAGCATCTGCTGGCAGGAAGTACTGTACTGTGCTAAGAAGTCAGGTGTGAAGTTCATTCTGAAAGCTGGTGGAGCTCAGGTTTGTGTCTTGTAGTTTGGGGGCATTGTGTTACACTTATTAAAATATTTGCGTCCGGTACCTCGATTATTGATATTGTATAAATCAATTGCCTAACATGCCGAATTTTGCTCTCATGAGTGATGGTATGTGCATGTATCATATCACTGGAAAAGTGGTATTGTGAGCGTGGTATCATATGATTCATGCACATATCATCACTCAAGAGAGCAAAGTTGACCACGTCATGAAACATCACTGGAAAAGTGGTATTATTAGTATGGTGCCTGATCTCCTTAGACGTTGGTATGCAGGCGATTTCAGCAATGGCTTGGGGTACTGAGACATGTCCAAAGGTGCGAAGTCTTCAGACCCAACTTTCTATTCTAAAAGAACGGTTAAATCGTATGGATCTATGGAAACTTAGTGAAAGTTGTATTTTTCAAGTTGTTAAATACCATTTTGATAAGACTGTTCTAAAACTCCCCACTAATAGCTCCTATACTACGTAGGACAGAAAAGAATAACTCTTTATTAGCTAGGGTCGTCAATTGTTGCCATCTCATTTTTATTAAAGTATTAAAGTGCATGAGCAGGTCGATAAAGTTCTTGGACCTGGAAATCAGTATGTTACGGCTGCGAAGATGTTGTTGCAGGTATGGTCTATGTGCTCATTAGCCCTGTTCTTTGTCAGATTATTGCTTCTGCTCTTTGAATATGAAATGTACCACTTTTGCTCATATTTTTAGTTTGGATTTCAGAGTGTATGGGCCTTCAGTTTCAACCAATCAATGTACGAGAGTGCTGACTTCTACTTGCCAATCAATCTGTGGTCAACAGAATAGTGAAGCAATGGTAGCTATCGATATGCCCGCTGGTCCGTCGGAGGTTCTTGTGATTGCCGATAAGCTTGCTTCTCCTGTCCACGTGGCTGCAGATTTGCTTTCTCAGGTAGCTACGTTTTTTTTGTCAGTTTTTGTTTCGCTTGCATGCTAAACAGCAGGAAATTAGTCCGAACTTCATTTTGATTTTCAATGGTTGCCCTGTCTGTCTTCAAACTTGATTTTATTGTTTGGTGTAATCAGCGATAGTTTCTATACGTTGAATCCATTACCAGATTGGTCATATTTTCGCTGTTCTGGTTATGTAATTTTGTTCTGTTTGGTATATTGCAGGCAGAACATGGGCCAGATAGTCAGGTGGTTCTTGTAGCAGCAAGTGATGAAGTAGACATCGCTGCCATACAGCACGAGGTGGAGAGACAATGTAGGGATTTACCTAGGGACATAATCGCTACCAAAGCTCTTTCTCACAGCCACATTGTTGTTGCGAAGGACATGGCAGAGGTAAAGCTCTTCCTCTTCCGTTACAGCAGCATCTCTGACCCTACTAATGAACATATTTGATGTAAAAACTGCTGTGTTGCCTTCGTGGGAAAAATGTGATTTCTTGCTCTTGAAGGTAAGCAGGATATCTTGCATCATATTCAAAGTTTTACCATTATTTGAGTAAGAAACTGGTCAGAGTACTGACAACTAAAATGGTCATGTGCACAGGCATGTGAATTTTCGAACATGTATGCTCCTGAGCACTTGATTGTTAACGTGGAGGACGCAGAGCAGTGGTTGAACTCTCTAGATAATGCAGGTGAAATAGTAAATTTTCATTACTGACAGCTATTCAAGTTTTGAGATTTACCATGGGTGTTAAAGAGAACCTGCTGCAGACATTTTTCTATCTGCTTGGTATCGGTGTGCTTATCATAATTGAAATACGGCAACCCCCTAATGAAGAGTAATAATCAGTGTTGGCATGGTAAATTCTCATACTATTTTCTTATGTGGCAGGATCCATATTTTTGGGAAGATGGACACCTGAGAGCGTGGGTGACTACGCCAGTGGAACTAACCATGTGTTGCCAACATATGGCTACGCTCGGATGTATGGGGGCGTGTCTCTGAACTCTTTTGTTAAATATATTACTGTGCAGTCCTTAACGGCAGACGGTCTGCAAAAGCTAGGGCCGTTTGTCGCTAAAATGGCTGAAGTTGAGGGTCTAGAGGCACATAAGAGGGCAGTGACATTTCGGCTGTGTGATATTAATGCCTCGAGTTAATATCGAATACATTAAAGAAGCGTTCAAATCCTGTAGCTGGAAATTTCACCAAACTAGATCCTTCCGTATTCTTCTTAACCGATGAAGGTGATCTCTCCTTGTTGATTTCCGTTGTTAATTGAAGGAAAACAATTTTCTTCAGTTAAGTGGTTGTACCATACATGCAATTCCTGGCAGAAATTTTCTTAATAGAGATTTTCTTAACAGATTGCTCAAAGGTGTTCACTTAACTTAGGCTAGGTTTAAAACGAGGTGCGTTGAGTAATCAATTTTTAATCTTGAGGGGCTTAAAACAATAGAGCTCCTTTCTATTGAGACCATTCCTCTTCATGTTTTTTTGTGCGTAACCATTTGTTGCTCTCACATGAAATATTTTAGCACCAAAAGTTAGGACTTTGAAAGAATCATGACAACATTAATTTTCTTTTGTACACAACTCCATGTCAAGTTGGAGGAAGTCAGAAAGTGTACTTGTGAAAAGGGTTAGTAATATTTTTTTTGGAAATATTTAAACTCTTTGTTATTCAAATTTAAATTTATATTTAATTTTTAAATTATTTGCTTTGAGATTATGTAATACAATGGATTGTCATACATTCAAGGTTGTGTGTCAATGAACAGGTGTCATGTATGATGAGTTGAAATTTTTAACTTCACTTCAATATCATAAATAAAAAAAAGTACATGACAAAATGTGATGTTCATGAACAACATATTACACTAAATTATCTACATATTTTACAAAAATTTCAAAAAGTAATTCTAATTTTAACAAAAAATTGTGATGAAAAATAATAAAATTTTAAAAAACCTCAAATTAATTTCTCTTAACATTATTTTGTTTCTTTAAAAAATATTTAACACCAAAAACATAGTATTAGGCATTATAATTTTTAGAGCTTTTATAACTTGGAAAAATAGATGCAAACATAATTCTTTGAGCTAATATGTCTAACATATTTCTAAAGAAGTTGAAAATATGATTATCTTAAAAATAACTACTTAAAGTTTTTAATTGACACATTTATAATTGCGGGTATAGCTTAATATAACTAATGTGCACAAAACATTATAATAAAACTAGTATTCTTGTAAACATTTTATTGATTTGAAAATTTTGTAACTTTTTTTAAAAATAAAATTCAATGCCTATATTGTTTAATTTTAAAATTTATAAAACTTATTTATTATAGAATTTACATGAAATTTCAATATATATAAACATTATTAGATTATCTATAGTTGTATTAACCTAATTTTTAAAGTCTTGCTATAGATGTAATTGCTACTTAGTAAGAAGGACTTTTAACTTATTAACTATTACAAATTAAATATTGACAAGAAAAAATCCATCTTAAGACAAAGAAACATGCAAAAGAAATATCAAAGAGATTTTATACAATTGACAAGAGGTAGCAATTTTATGCATCATTCTATTAACCATTTGCTAACCCTCCTTATATCAAAAACCTAAGATAGTTTGAGATACTAATTTTTAATTTTGAAAAAGAAATAATATTCTATAAAATGATTTTAAAATAATAAATTATAATTTATTATAAGAATCATTACTTACAATTATTTTTTAGCTGTATCTTTTATAAGATAAATAAGAATTATCTTATTTAAGTATTTTCATACATTTGTATATCACTGGATGATTTTTATGTGAGTTTAAAAACGTTAAAATAAGAACTATAATTTCTTGTGTTTCTATATATATATATATATAAAAATTATTTATCATAATCAATCATCAAAATCAAAGACCCTTGATTTGTTATAAAATGACAATGTTAAAGCAAGTTGTTGATTCATTACATTAAGCAATTCAATGATGAATTACAATGCACACAATGTGACCAAGAATTGTTCAAACACATTGCATTATGTTACACACATACACAAAAAAAAAAAAAAAAAAAAAAAAGAAGAAGAAAAAGGAATAATAAGTTATTTTATAGAAACATGTGCAGAGAGAAGAAAGAACAAAAAATAATACACGCCCTTAAATGTATTATATATCTATATTATAGTAAAAGTACATCAAAAAAAAAAAAAAAAAAAAAAAAACACACACACACACACACGATTATATGGCTGACTTCTGCTGTATTTAAAAAAAATTATATACAATATTAAATTAAACAGTTATTTTACCAATAAATGTGTATGTATATATATATATATATATATATATATGATATTTTCTTCCAATTTTACCAATTTTAATCACCACATCTGCATTAAGAATAAAAGGCTATAATATCTACCTTCAAATCATGGCCACTGCCCGTTAATGCATATCTCACGAGTGATTTCCTTATCCACCTACTCTAATGCCTCCATTTAATTCTCTTGCTAGATAATATCTTGAATGAATTGTGGAGACATCACCGGATTATTGTTTAAATTATTTTAGAACTTTCTAACTAATGCCATGAAAATACTTTCCAAACTATTATTAGAATCTAGTTTTCTCTTGACTTTGAGAAATGTCACCGTATTTATGTGTTGTGGTGTGCAAATTTGCAAAGAAGTGGGTTTGCAAATCAATGTGGGCAAACTTATAAAGTGGGTATATTTTTGTAAAGTTGTGAAGGTGTTCATTCTATGTTTGCATTGCAATTCAAACATACAATTGACTATTCTTCAACTATTTCAACATAGTCCAATGACCAAGTATAATATTGATCATTTTTTTTGGTTGGTAACATAGCAACAAACCAACTTCTCTATAGAATTTTTGCAATAGATGATTGTAGGATGCTTTTTCTAAACAAGTTGCAATTTCTTTGTTAACTAATTCTAAAAATTTGGAAATTTATGCATTTTAGAGGGAGTTTTTTTTTACCAATTTAGCATGTATATACACAGACAAGAAACATTGAATTTTATTTTAAATATCAAACTTTTTTTCTTATTGAATTACAAACTATAAAATGAAATAAATAAATTACTTTATTAAAATTTTCAGTATATTATTATATTTTTAGTGTTTTAAGATATTAAAGGAGAATGATATAAGATGAATTTCAATCTAAATTTAAAAGTTTAAAATAATGTCGTGCATTTTCTGTCTGTTTGAAACTGGTCTAAAATACCTCAAAGCATCTATAATTGATAGGATACTGTCAAAAACAATCAACTATTTTTTTCTTTTACTAATTGATTTTTTCAAGATTAGTCTCAATAAAAAATTAAAAACATTTAATTATCCGTACTATACAATGGAAATTGTTCATGGATATTTTTGAAAACATTTGCTATAAGATTTTTCTGTTATATTATATTTTAAAGATAATTTCTTTTTTCCTCTAAAGATTTAGTAAATTAATTTTAGAAAAAAAAATTTTTATTTTCAAAATCTTTTAAAATCAAATGTTTTTGTGTGTTACAAAAATGTTTTTAATTTGGAGCATTTAATACCATTCACAAAAAAAAAATGTAATTTTTTAAAAAAATAGCATAATATTAATTGAATATATTAACAAAAATTTAACATTCTACCCAACATATAATTCATACATAAAAGTTTGGGGAAAAGAACATAGAATGAATATGTTCTATGTTCTTACCTGGCCAATAACCCAAAGCTCCAACGAACGAGAGAACGAGCCAGCGAACGAGAAAATGAGCCAAGGAACGAGAGAAAACAAACGAACTTTCATGAAGCGAAGGAGACGAATGTCGGTCGGTCTTCGTCGTCCTCGTCGTCTCTCCCTCTCTCTCTCTCCCTGGAAGTGTTTTCTGAGCCCTTTTTCGCTCTGTTATTGCAATTATAGCTCCGCCATGGCTTATCACCTGCCACTCTACTACTACTCCCTATCGTCGTAAGTCCCCCCCCCCCCCCCCCCCGTCTCGTGTGTTCCCTCGTATTCATATGCTACGCCGCGATACCGGACTTTTCTTTTACTTCTCTCTCATCTCCCACTACTGCATGAGCCTGGTTGTTAAACACCTGGTGGGTTCTGTGTAGGTTTCTGTTTCGTCACGTTGTAGGTTGGTTAGCTGCGCTGTGAGAATCTTAGCGGGAATCTAGAATTCCACTTTCCGCATTTCTTAGATTCGTGGACGAGAGCTTTTTTTTGTGTGTGCACGCTCGCGCTGGGGATGTAGTAGATCTAGCTGATTAGGGAGTAGGCTTGGGGTGAGGTCGAGAGTCAGTGGACTTAAGGGTAGATACGAAATATTGTTAATTCCTTATAGATTTTTTGTGCTTGTGTAGAGATTGAAACATGTAGAGATTTGTGACGATTTCACTTGTGGTTTGTCGAGGATGGAAGGACGACCTCCTGGGATTGTAAGTTTAATTAATGCGTGTGGAAGTCAGCCAATGCTTAGGTATCGTATACTTTAATCCGGTGATCGCGGATCCTAGGTCTTTTTCTGTTTTTTTCCTTATTTGTTTTTGTTACGCCCCAATATGTAGCACTGTCTTCGTTTCACAATCAACGCTTCCCTACAAAATTCCCAACTCTGTCTACTACGATCTTCTGGTTGATGCTAATTTGGTGCTTACGTGAGTAATTCATAATCAGGTCGAGTGATTTTCAGTTTATAATATATAGTGCTTGTGTACATGATCTAGTCAGTTTCATAAGTTCTTTGATGCATCTAAGCGACAGATAATGTGGACAATTATTTAGATTATCTAAATGATCTAGAGAAGTAGAATCCTTGTAAGAAGTAAGCATCGGCACACACGATCCAGGGGTAACCATTGTATCACAAATGGTAGGCTGGGAGCACACAGTCGATTCTTGACGCTTGTCAGGCCTTAGAACTTTAGTAGGTATGTCCTTTTTACGGAGTTCGTCGTGGCACTACTAATAGCAACATGCATGTAAGAGCTTTGCTTTCAACGCATTCATTGAGGCGAATTCTGAGTGCCGTAATTCAGGGTTGTTTGAGCTAGGTTTATCAAGACTTCGCTGATTTTCCGATTGTTCAGTATTGTTGAGGGAGTTTACTTTCCGTGCATAGGCTGATCATCTTGATGAAGTTCTGGCGCAATCTTTAAACGTAGGGCTTGAATTTAAATAGTAGCATATGGCTATTGTAAACCGATCCTGAAGTTTCTCTTTTTTTTTTTTGTATGAACCCTAAATATGGTGATTCGTAATTGCTACTCATCCATCCAGTGTGGAATATTTTGGAGAAACTGCATGAGTTATTCCAGATTCTGGCATTGATGTGTTCAACATGACAAGGTCTCCGTGCGGAGAATATAAAAGGTTGCACTGGCTAGCTTGTTTAGCAATTTGGTGTTTTTCTTCTGCTTGAATTACTCAAGCTAGACTACATGCCATCATTATTCGAAGTTCCTGAATCTCCATGAATCATTGCAGGAGATTTATCAAGGCCCGACACCACTTTTGCGACATCCGTGTTATCATCCCCGTGACAATTAGGTGTAACTTGATTGGTTCCCTGTTTCTGTCACCCCAAAGAGCTCACTTCCTTTACCCTTGGTTGTAGAAATTTTGGTCGAACCAATCTCTGTGGTTAGGGGCAGGAATCGAGAAAATAGTGGAGACAACATTTTTTGTCTATTTATTTCTGCAAAAGGAGATTTGGAGCAGAATGCTAGAGTGAGGAAACTACAAATATTGGTCTAGAACTTCCTCTACTTTGGTGATGAACAGAGATCAATCAAATTTTCATGTAAATAGATGCTTGTGCGAAAACGGCAATTAAGGTTTTCTGTGAAGGATACATTCTTGTCAAAAAATTTGGGTGTGGAAGATGCTGGTTATCTAGACAACAAAGAAAGGATTTAGTGAGGTATTTCAATAAGGCATGGAGATGGCAAGTCACCCTGCGGTACATCCCGTGGCTCTTCCCCCACCATACCAAGCTGTGGGACCTCCGGCACCTCCAGCAGTAAGGATCAATGATTTTCCTGGATCACCGGGGACGCTGATGGGTTTGGCATTGCGATTCGCGCAATTAGGATTCGCCCTTACTGCGCTTTGTATCATGGTTTCGATTGTTGGTTTCTCTTCGGTTACAGCATTCTGGTGCGAATCTTCTTGATCTCAATACTTTGATTTTTTCGTCCCTGTTTCGATTTTGTTGTTGCTCGAAGCCTTTTCTTTTACCCACTGTCGATCCCTTTTTCATACCTTACTCTCTAATGAGTTTTTTTCTTTCTGCTCAATTTGTACTTGTGTGGTGCAGTTTTCTTGTTGCAGCTATGGTATTGCAATGCATCTGGAGCCTGTGTTTGGGAGTTTTGGATTGCTATGCGTTGTTGACAAAGCGGTCCCTTCGAAACTCACTGATTCTGAGCTTCTTTGTTGTTGGTGACTGGGTAAGAGGCTCATGTTCTTTAACCATGCTCTAATGACTCTTGGTGTGATTCATCTTGAACGCATGCATTCCTGATGGCTACATTTTTGTCGTATTTTTTATTGGTGTTTTTTTTGCATCGGTACAAGGTATCTGTTGGCTCAGTCCTATCGAATTGGTTTACTACGTGATGCTCAAACATCAAAGCTATATTATTTTATTTGATGATACTTGTCCATTAGACATTGTAGTAAAAATCGAAATGTACTTCTGAATTTTGCTACAATGACCACCTTTAGTATGTGAAATTCATTACTGACAAGTTGCAAACTTGAGAATCAGATCACTTCAACAATGACATTTGCTGGAGCTTGCGCAGCTGCTGGAATTACTGTGCTCATTGATAACGATCTCAACCAATGTGGACCCAACCACTGCAACAGATTTGAGGCAGCTGCCGCTATGGCTTTTATGAGCTGGGTCATTACAACTATATCTTTCTTTTTATCATTCTGGATCTTGGTTACCTGCAGATAATACCTTAATGCATGGTATGTCTTTTGTCTTGTATATTAGAAACTCTTGTGTTCACATTGGAATCCTCTGCTGGATCCTATGTCAATGACAAAAGATGTAGTATAAGATCCCTTCTAAATACTCTTAGTGGGTGTGTTCATCTTTTGGTTGTGGCCACCCAAAGTTTGCAGGAGGCTCAGAGACAGTCTCTGTTGCTGAGAATTTCATGGAGGGACTCTAAATAGCATACAGGTTTCACAGTTGTGCAACGTTGTTGGTTTTGTTTCCTTCATGTTTAAACACAGGGGTATGCCTAGTTGTCTAAATTAAATGGATGACAAGGTACAATAAGTTAGTAATTCATGATGAAGTTCTCGAGTTTCTTTTTTTAATATGGTAGTTCCTTCGAGGTTTCACTCTGCTATCAGGACACTTTCCCTGACTGATTCCTTGGCTTAAGGTGCCAAGGGTCCTCTTACGATCGTTACTATTTCATATCCGCGTTTTAATACTTATAAGGAATTTTGAGGGACGGATGATTACATTTGTTGATGCACCTCAATGATGCATGAATTTTTCTCATCGTCCCTTGTCAGCTTGTCAACCAGGAGAGCGCACTAGGTAACCTATAGTTTGTATGGGTATAAATAAAGGTGAGACGGGATGCGTTTCCAGTTTCATAAATTTGTCTCTTCAATATTGTTCAGTTTCAACTTTATTGACCTTTTTTTTGTATTCTTGTTTTAATAAATCTAATCCTTGTTTCTGTCTTTTACATGCAACTTTTCTATGTATTTATTTGTAAAACATATCTTGGCTTTAGTACATAAGGTGTCCTTACTCAATTTTAAATGGCATATTTGTCTTTGCTAATAGGAATGTTATTATTTATGCTATTATGGTTGGTATATATGAACATAATGTTGATATTTAAAGGTTTCAACCACCATTGCTAAGTGAACAAAGACTAAATATGCTATGTAGTTGTTTTGATTTTAATACATAGTTTTTATTTTTTTAATATCAAGATGTTGATAACATAAAATTTAGTTTTTCAATTGATATATTAAGTGAAAATATTATTTGATTGTTATATTTTATTTTACTTCTTACACTTGATACAAACATGTAAAAAATACTTATTGGATAAATTATATATATATATATATATATATATATATATAAGAAGTTAAAGCCATATTATAATGTTGTTAAAGCCACACTTCTTGTCATCTCATGATTGATTTTATTCATTCATCTCCATCTCTTATTCTCAGTCTCCTATCTCTATTCCCTTCTTTTCTTGTTTCTTATTTCAAATCTCTCCTCCCTCTCCTTTTTAAGTCTTTGTTCTTATCCTTTGTTTCTAATTCCTTATCTTTGTTTTTTTCTTTATTTCTTATCTCCTGTCCTCAATTCTTCCATGTTCCTATTTCTATCCTTCATTCTTTGTCCTCCATTATTCCTTGCAACAATCAATATAAACTAATATACTTTGTCTCTAATTCTTCCAAGTCTTTTGTATCATAATGTATTGACCAATTTATGAAACCTTACTAAATATCCTTATAAAGTTCTTGTAATATAGGTAAAGACTTGGCATATATATTGAATATTAAAGAAAATAAAACTTTGATTTTTACACTATTGATAGTATAATATTTGATTCTTCTAGTGAAGATTAAGAAGGGAATAGGATAAAAGTTGATCAAAAGTACAAATAAAGGTAAACTTATTAAATATATCTTAATTCAAGCTTATCTCATACCCTGCCTAGAAATAAAGAATGAATGATGGAAATAGAGACAAGAGATATAGAATAAGGACATGAGACTAAAAACTATGGATAAAAAGAGAGACATAGAATGAAAGAAGAGAATTCAAACAAAAAACTAGGTATCATGGTCATACATATTTATTCCAATAATTACCTATATGATTAAATAGAAGTAGGTAGAAGTAGATTAATTTTATAATATCTTTTAGTAAAGCTTCTTAAAAGCTTCATAGATATTGCTTTGACTTTATACGTATTTGTAGTTAATTGGTAGGTTAGAAACTTAGTCAATAAGTTAGCCACATATCATATATGTTAATAGCTTATAGAACAAGCTAACTATGTGGTCTATATATAGATAACTTACCTTGCAAATTAAGACATGTGTTTAATAAGTCAATATGTGTTGGAGGTCCTATAGCATATTGCCACATACCTCCTAGTTAGAAAGTATATACAGAGATAAGAGTGAAATCTTTTTCACTCTTGTCAATGCCTTTTTAGTCTTTAGTCTTATTTCAAAACTTTCTAATCTTCTTGTCTTTGGCAATAGCCATTCTAATTTAATATTATATCATCTTTTAGTGATTTTCTAATTCTTTTGAGTGATACAAGAGTATATTAAGGATTTCTTTCTTCCAGATTCATATCCTTGACATCATATCCTTGACACTAAGAACATAAGATGGATGGAATCTATCATGAGATGATAAAAGAAGATGTGACTTTAATAACTTTATATATATATATATCTATTATTAGATATTTTATTAAATTATTAAATTATTTTTAGATTTATTTTATTAATTCAAGTAATAATTAAATTCTATATTAAATATCAAATTTTATTTTAAAGTAGTGGTAAATAATTTAAATTAATAATAAATAATAGATATTATTAATGATTAATTTTTTAATATAATTTTATATATAATTAAATTAATTTAATAATAAATTAATTTAATAATAAATTATAAAATAAATTATAATTATATATAAGTGAAAAAATAATACATTTGATTAAAATATGATTTTTAAAAAATTAAATTAAAATAAATAATATTACAAATTTAATTAATATTTTTAAAATTATTTTTATTAATAATATTTTAATAATTTTAAAAGATTATTAAAACATGTAAATATAAATTTAAATATGTAAATTATATCATAAAATCATAATAAATAGTAATAGTAATTCTTTAAATATTTCAATATTTATTATATATGCATATTTTCTAATAGTTTCTTTATTTAGAAAAATATTTAGAGATATTTAATGAATATTTTTCTATTTTTTTGTAATTAATTTATATTTTAAAATCTTATCTTATATATATATATATAATATAGAATTTTTTTATTAAAAAGTATGTAAATAAAGACTAATATATGTTATTCTATTATTTATTAAATTTACATCAAATAAATAAAAATATTATAATTATTTTTTAAAAAATAAATATAAAATTTAAATTAATTAATAAATTTATATGATATTATAATTAATACCTTAAGAATTTATAATTTTATTGTAATATAAATAAGCATATTCTAAATTTATATATACATATAGGTAAAATGAATCTAGAGGTCATTTGTTTATATTGTAATATAAATAAACATATATTATACAATGAGCTTCCAATTAATTTATTAATTTTAATAAGATATATATATATATATATATATATATATATATATATATATATATATATAAGTTAAAATGTGTATATTTACATATATATTTTTTGATATGGTAAACTTATTTTTTAGGAAAATGGTAAATAGATCTAATATTTCACTAAAACAATATATCCATCATGACAATCATGAAAACAAATGACCTCTAGATTCATTTCTCTACTACTTGATTTTCAACTAATAAAAATATAGCAAATTTGTCATGATTAGCATATTCTTTATCATTGTCACAATCATAGCCACCTCCATTTTCTAACAACTCCTTAAAAGAACCTTAATTATTTGTTTGAAAGGGAGTAAGAGAAACAACTCAAAACATTCTTATTGCTTTGCCTCTATTTTGTCGCTTAGGTCTGCTTAGATTTGCTCATATTTTTTTGTTCATGAAGTAACATTTGCTTAGTCTCTACCTTGTGCATATTTGAGCTTTGTTGCATTTATTGTCATTGCTTACATCATTTTCCAACATCCATGATAAGGCAATATAAAATTGGCATTCTAAAGGCTATGGCCTTAGCTCCTACACTTGGTAATCATTTTGATCCTTCTCTCATTTTTTCTTTGATATCTTGCATACTTGCTTTGAATGAGATATGTGCTTTGTAGTTATGGATTAGAATAATTTGGATTTTGATTTTTTTGTAATTAGCTTTGATATAAGTATTGACAACATATTGCAACTTCCTTAGCTAGCTTGTAATTGCAATTATTCATAAGATTGGTATTCTTATCGTTGGACTAATCTAGATGCGTTATAATGCTCGTAGGCCTCATAGTCTATTTATAATATTTAATTGTATTTATGTAGACTTGATAAAGTCCAATTGGATTTCATTAATGTATGATTTATTAAGATTATTATGTTCTAATCATAGGAAGGTGGTTTATTCTTATCTTATAGATGTTGAAACTTTGCTATTGATGGCTAATGTAGGATTTTTTTTTTTTTTTTTTTTTTTTTTTTTTTTGTGTGTGTGTGTTTAGGTTTTATATTTAAATTAAATATTTGAAAGTAGTCAATTATTAATTAATTTAATATATTTTAAAAATTTTCTATATATATGTAGTTTCTTGTCTAAAGTATTGTGCAAGGATAATGATGTGGTAGATTCTAGGTTGAAATTGTCAAATTAATTGTCTAAATAATATTTTTTTTTGCCTCTCCTATATGGTACAATAGTATCTTATTACTTTGAATATGAGAGCATTTGATTACGTGATGATATTCTAAATAGTGAAGCTCAAGTACAATACTTTTTTACATTCTCACTTGATATTTTATAACTGAACTTAATAACCATATGTGAATCATAAATAAATAAACTATTGAGAGTGTTTGAGTGGCTCTAGACTAATTTGGAACAACAAATCTATTGTTGAATTGTGTGCTATAGCTATCATTAGGAGGTTCACCTAATCCAAGGAGCAAGGAGTAAAACTAAAAGATGTGGCTATAATAGTTGGTGATTGCGGATAAAAGAGAATTGAATGGAATAGGTGGGCTACAAATTCTGACCTTGTCCATGAACATTGGTGTCCATCAAAGTAACAAATCTACTTTGATACTTAATAATAAACAACTACCAATTATAAAGAGTCCAACAAAGCTTGAGTCGCAAAAGTGTGGCATTATACAAGCTAGGAGTAAAGAGCTATCTCCACACAAGTCTATTAATATTTTGTATTATTGGATAGTAAGCATTGGTAGACATGGGAGGAGGAATAGACTTGAAAGGATCAACAAAGTATAATGTACAAATTGTGAAGTACAAAGAAGGTGGTTTTGATGTAAGATATTGGAGATTGCCTATATGTCTTATAAAATTGGTGTTTATTTGGATCAACTTGAAATCATCTTCTATAGAATATCTTAATTATTATAATATGTAGTTGTCAAAATACCACTATTATACTTTTTCATTTCATCTCTACTTTACTTAGTAGTACATTATTTTGGTTTTGAAGTTCTATTTGTAGGAGTTACTATTTTAAATATTGAGCATATTTTTGACTATGGCCTTTTATGTATACTTTACTCATTAACACTATAACCTAAATAAATAATCAGTCTAAAATTTTAAAATAGTACATTAACTTAGATTTATATAAATCATCTTTAGTAGCTTATTACTATAAATCAAAGTGTATTTGTGATCCACTTACAAATAATTGTGAGAAAAATATTACTCTTGTAGGACATATGCAAATATTATGTCCAAAAAATTTGCAATTTTTGCAAACTTATATTGTTGTTGTTGCTTCAATAATTTCAAAGTGTGAAGCATAATATTGCATAGATGACTTAGCATGTGAAGAGATAGTAGATCAAATATATGACTAATAATAACATAGATATGGCACAGATCTTTCAAAGAAGTACATTCAATTTGTAGTAGTATTATAGCTAAAAATTCAATAAAAATTACTAAATAATATTAATGATGAAAATTAATAATTGACAAATACCACCTTTTTTTTAGTAAAATTTGAATTTGATGCTTATATAGAAGACCTAATGTGTTTGTTATTGTTCTTATATAGAAAAAAGTGTTATCATCAATTTTTACTTTTGTTTATTTTTATTGATTAAAAATAAGGTTAAAAGTATATATAGAAATATATTTCACAATATTGGTAAAAAAAACCAATATTGTATTGATGACATACATGAGTTTGTTCTAAATTCTTTTGAATCTTGATTTCTCTTGTTATATCCTAAAAAAAAGTCAAAAAAAGAAATTTGCACTTCTTGAAGGTCTTTGGTAGATACTTTTAAATATGATTCCAATATTGAATGTTGATCTTTTACTTGTGATGTAATAACACTTCCAAGATGAAGAAAATTATTTGTCTAAGCTTTAACAAATTATTTCTTGTGCAATATCCATGTATTTTGTATATATACAACAGTCTCTTGCATAATATCCATGTATATTATAAGTACATAATATTTGCATAAGCAACAATAAAGATGTATTTGTTGCAAAGATTAGATAATTCTAGATTATAAAGCTCTTCAAAAATAACACTAAAAATATTGGTCTAATTTTCAAGAAATGAAGACCAATATGTTTCCACTTTATTTGAAAAATATTTTTTATAATTTGCTAAAATAATTTTGTGAATATGCCAAATGCACAATAAATCATTTGAAGTAGAAAACACTAGTTTAATAGCATTTATTAATACCAAATGCCTATTAGCACCAATGTATATGGATAAAATATTTCCATAAAATTGAAGTTAGATTAATGAACAACAAAAAAAAGGTTTTTTTTCTCTTGGTAAAAAGAAATAATAATGATAAAAGAGGTATTAAAACTTGCCATTCTCACAATATGAAACATAGGCATTTTAAACCTATTTTTTTTTTTTGTATGTACAATCCATAATAGTAGAAGAAGTGTATCTTTTTGCAAGACTAATATAGTTAGAATTTACAAAAAATAAAGAATTTACCTTATTATCTTCATCACATTAATAAATAAAGTAATATTTAGTAGTATGTAAAGTTTTCATAAAGCAAACAATAGATGAACAATCAACAAGTGTGATATGATGCAATCTTTGTCACTCATTATAAATAGTATAAGCAATAACTTTGTTGCTAAAATAGCTTTCTCATAAGTCAATCACAATGTTTTTTTGGCATTGTTGTATTATATATATTCTTACTTGAAAATATACTGGGCACCTAACTATAGAAGGTAAGTAAAAATGCAACAATAAAATCATATCAAGTTCAATAGAGTCTTACATAAACCATAAATAAATTAAAAAAATCTAATTAAATTTTAACCAATCCAAAAGAAATTTAAAAGAAGTTACAAATGAAACATAAAGAAGTCATAATTAATCTCTAAAAAAATAATAAAGAAATCCTAAAGAAATACAAAATACAAACTTTAAAGAAATAATAATTATCTTAAAAGAATAATATAAATAATAAAGAATTCTTTCAAAATAATAAAAATAGAGGTACTAAATAAATCCTAAATACATTCTAAGTAAATCATAAATAAATTTTAATCAAATTTTAAATGAATCTTAACTGAATTCTAAACCTTAAATCAATTCTAATGAAATCCTAATGAATTCTAACCAAATTTTAATCAAATCCTAGATCAAATCCTAATCCAATCCTAAATCAAATCCTAAATCTTAACCAAATCTTAATCAAATTTTAAACAATTCCAAATAAATTTCAAATAAATCATAATCAATAATTATAACTATTTGAAATCTCAATAAATATTAATTAAACTATTTATCTTAACTAAAATTTTATCCAAACTTCAACCAACAAGTAGTTAACAAGTACGCAAAATTGAAAAGAATCAAATTCACTAATTGTAAAAAAAGCTCCTAAAATCTCTCAAATATTGGTGGCCCTCATTCTCTAACTTGAATATTGATCTTTTAATAAAGATTTTTCTTTGTTGAATTATTCAATTGCTCCAAAAATTGGGGCATGTATAAGTATTCAAGTTTGAATCTTTCTCACCAAATTTTGCTTTAATCAAACAAGCAATTTTTTTCAAATTGCAAAAACCTTCATTGATCCTAAATTTCAATTATTAGAGATTATAATCCACAAAAATTCTATTAATTTTTAATTTAACTGCTTGATTAATATAAAAAAATTTACAAACATTCACAAAAAGTACAATAAAAACTCACATATAAATAAGCTACAAAACTTACAAAATCCTGAAATTTGTAAACTTATTTTAATTTTTCAAAATCTAAACCTACTAAGTACAACTCTAACTTTGAAAAGCCCTCAAAACCTCAATACCTATCCAAATAACATGAAACCAACTTTCAAAAATCTCTTCTCATGTCCGCCCTCTAATCTCATTATTTGATTGACAAAAGAACCTTGGAGTAGCCATAGGTGTGCGGTTTTGTGCCTCGGGATCTGATTTTGAACCTTTGCGGGTATCAATTTTTGGTAATTTGAAGTAGTTTTTACTTAAACCTATTATTAACTCTCTCCTAAAGATGCCTATATTATTTACTTATTTCATTTAATTTGATTTGAGGCATTTATGCTCCTACAAAATAAATAGAAATTCCTTCTATAAAAGACAACATTAAGACTAAAACTTTTACTATCTTTCTATCATTTATCCTTGTTTTTTTACATCTTTCTACTAGGCTCTTCTATAATAACATTCATATTTTTATTTTTCAACATATAATCATGTTACCACACAACAACAAGACCTCCACAAAAAGCAATCATGATGTCATTTCTTTCACTGTTGGTTGAAGATATTAAGCAAATAAATGACTTGAAAGAAAAGTAGATGATTCATAATTATGAAGACCATTCCAAACTTTTAAGTGCCATTGTGTACTACCTCACAAACAACAAGCATGAAACTCAAATAGACATCCAATCAATTGACTTATACTATTTTGTTGATAAATCTAATTATTTTGCTCACAATAAACTCTCTTTCTATTGCACTTGAAATCAATGCAATCCTTATCAAAACAACATTTGCAAATAATGTATCCTTGACTATATGTAAATGTATCTATACTATCTTTCATTTCTTCTATGCTTTTAAATTACTTCTTTGGTGGTGCAGATATATGCGCCTCACTTTCAATTGCAAAATACAAATGATTGTAAAATATACAATTTCTTCTCTCTTCTCTACACTCTATATATACAATGACAAAAATAAGAAACAATAGTATAGGGTTAATTGGAAGAAGATTGAACATATAAAAACTTATGGATATAACAAGGCAAGACAAATGGAAATAGCTATTAATAGTAGCTATTAGTAAGTATTGTTACTTGTCATATCTTCATGATTGAATAAACTATATTTGTAATAAACTATGATTCTATTAATCCTAATGTGGATGATGGTTTTAATGATGACAAAGATTTAAATAATCTACGTGCCAATCTGTAATAATGGATGGGTCAATTGAGTAAAAGATTGGATCTATTTAACATTCTCCATTTTTTTAATACATCATATTTACACTTGTGACAATGTATTATACAAACTTCATTTGTTCTTTTTCTATCAAAATTACTATCCTGCATCTGAAGTAAAACAAAATTGATCCAAAAATTACAAAATATTTTTTTTGAATTGCAATTAAAAAATTTATCCTCACTCAATTGAATGCTCCGATCATCTAAATAATTACATCATCTAAAGAAAATCATTAACTTTCAGCCTCTTCAGTGACTTGTGTCTTCTAACCTCTAATTTGTATCTTTTTGAAGACATGATGAAAAGATGAAGGCAACATGTTATTGCATAGAATTTTGCAACATAACATTTGTGTTTCTTGTACCTTGTGAAAATGGGTTCAGCAGTCACAAGGACTTGCTCTTGGTTTCTAAAGTACTGTATTGTTAAAATCCTTAACACAGCTGCAATCAATGACATAGATCCAAATTGATAACACCACTGGCACCTTAGTATGTTCTCAGGCAGAGAACATCCATTTCTCATCATTCGGTAAAAAAACCAATGCAAAATGAAGAATGAGAGAGAGAGAGAGAGAGAGAGAGAGCTAAACGTAGACTGAAAGTAGGGGAACTTATGTATTCACAACCTTCGGAAGCTACTGTAGACCATTTTCTAGTTCACAAGACTTTCCACTTTACACTGTACCATAACTCTTTCCAGTCCTACAATTACTGAGATCCCAGAGAAGCATCTCACAAGTGCTCCAGGTGACCATGCATGATGCTACAAAACTCCCTCGGTAGAGAAAAGATCTAGGTGTTGGAACAAGGGGAGAAGATTTCACTGTGAAAGAAAACTGTGCTTGCAGAGAGGGAGATGTAGCGAAATGTCAGTCAAGTTTGATAATGCATGTGTTTTTGGCCCCTGCTAGTCTCCCAAATAACCTCCTCCCTCTTTAAGGAAAAGAAAAAGAAGAAAAACTACTTTAAAAATAAACAAATAAAATTATGAACCCTAATCCTCGCTTAGACTATCTCATCAGATCCTTTTGGCTCAAGTCCCTTTACTGGTAGGCCTTCTGAAATACCTTTGGCACCTAATCTTTCTTCAAGAGCACGAGCGCCTCGCTCCCTGCATTAATAAAAACCCGCAATCACCATGCATAAGTTGCAGGACTACGGCATCTTTAGCCGAACGATTGCAGCTGACCCTATCTTTTGAGTAAAAAGCTGATAAAGAAAGAAAATAATACGGAAAAATAAATAAAAAATGATAAATAATTATCCTCTAGAATGGCAAGGTCTAAACCACCTTCGTCTGCTAGCCTCAACAGAATCTGATCCTGGAAGGGGTTTCCCCAGATCAACTCCCGGCCCTTCGTTAGATACTTGTCTTCTCTGCTTGCAGAAAATATTTTCAAAGATTGTTGCTATTGGATCGACGAAAGGCCTGCAGTTGAAGAACCACAAGCACATCCATTCAGTATTTCAGGACTAGTTCTAACTCCTTGTTGACCCACAATATTTGCAACACAGTGTCCAGTATAAGGAGTCAACAGGCAAAACAACAAAATTCGCCACCCTAATTTCTTGAAATATTAGAAATTTATGTCACTGTTCCAACCAACTAACAACAGTAACAAGAAGTACTTCCACCTTCAAGAGACAGGATTAGAAGACATACTGCACAGGTGCTGGGAAGAAAGTTGCGAATGCAAATTCAGCACTAAAGTCCCCTTTGAGTCCTGCCTCGGGCTTCTGCTGGAAATAACGAAGATACATCCAAGCTCCGTAAGTTCCGAACACAACGAACGGTACGAATTGCATTGGCTCCGGCGAGAAAAGACTGCTGAGGATCGCAAAGGCCACAAAGACGGAAGGGGACCACTGCAACCCACAACCACACCACGTTTGTTAAGAACTTCTATGCGGAAGAAATCACTAATCACTCCTTGTTAGAAATCACAAGCAAAAACATCGAGAAGTCAGGCCAAAGCAGGTAACAACATGGAAAAGCTGACCTTTACACGCAGCTTAAGAGCTGGTATTTCTTGTTCTGGAATGATCTGCTTTACAGCTACAAGAAACCCAGCCACTACTCCATGGAACCCTGATATTGGCGCATACCTGCAAAAGTTTTGACCAAGGTCATCAAAGAAAATATTGACCAGTACAAGACGAAAAAAAGAAAAAAAGAAAAAAAAAAAAAAAAATTGGTATTTACTAGGATGCCCCTCATTTTATAGTACCACTCATCTATTTGACCATACACTTCCGTCAGCTTAGGCTGGAAAAGTGGCACTCTTGCTAGGCTTAAAGAAGGTAACTACCAGCTCAATGCTTATTCTCTAAGAAAATTAAATGAAATTTGGTTTTCAACAAAAATGCAGGATATTTGCTCAACTCACAGATAGTTTCCTTGTCTTGAAATGAAGTAGAGAAAGATGGCCAAGACGAAGGTACTTGCGCAAGTGAACAAATTGACAAAAGCTATAAACTTCACAAACTCTTTCGAGCCCCAGAAAGGCTCCAGATGCTTTCCAGCAAGAAGTAGGGCGACAATGCTCGTCCCCAACTGCACAGAAAGAAGAAAACTAGGCGTAAAAAAGGGATGATCTGACAATCTGGCGCGCAGCTCATAATAAAAAAGTGCAAGAATCTATACGCATTACATACACCATACGAAACGTCCTTCTCAACAGAAGGGGATTGCCAATTTCTAGACGGTTGCACAGGCTAGCTTGTTATGAGCAAAGAAACAGCCAAGGAGTTCTTCAAAGAGGGTCAACACTAGTTCAGATCTCTGTCATCATTCAAACGAAATTCATTGAGATCCTTGGATAAGAGCTTACACCAAAAATGGATGTCTCAAGATAGCCTGCTGTGATGATGTTCCAAACAAATGGTATGAATCTGCAGGTAGGATGAGAGGCGATTGAGAAACAACTCAAACTTTACTGAGACACAATTAACCAGAGAAAGCATCATTGGTTGCTTTAGGTTAATATCATAGGTGATTTCCATGTAATTTTATTGTGAAATTCTGGAAACGAGTTCCTGAATTCAGATGAGCTGCCATGAATCTTCTACCATGCATTACGCATTTCATTCCTAAATTCCTCTCTCGATCGTCGAAGATAAATAAGAGCAAAACCAGATAAAAGACCAAACCAAGTCTTGGACTGAGGTACTTACTTTCCAGGTATTAAAGAAAAAGTAACAGAAATTGTATGAGGTAAGATGACATTGGCAAGATAGCCCGCGACAAGAACTACAGCTAACCCTTTTGAAAGTCGAGTAAAACCTGAGTAAAGGCCCCCAACCTGTACAAAGGAGACAGGAAAATCTTTCATCAGACTTCATTGAAACTAATGCATGCGATCAAGACAAAGTGAAAGACCACAGCATCAAGGAGAATACCTAATCTTTGAGCAAGAAAACGAAAGCATTGATAAGATTCGCCAATCAGAGATATTCCAGTGATGGTCATTGTTCCACTTCCTTAACAATTCGGAGAGTTGCCTGAAAACTCTTTCAATCCTAATCCGTTCAGATCCGGCATTTACCACTAACATGAGAAACCAAACCTATGCAATTTACAACTTAAAATTCCTGAGTTTGGAGTCTGCCTCACACATTCCAAGCCTTCAAGAACTTGATCAGCAAGTGAAAATCATATATTAAACAACCTAGCTGAGCAATGACGCCATGCGTTCATAACGTGGACCTCTGGCTGGAGTTACACAATTCTGATGGATAACATTTAGGAAAAACAATCAACATCGACTAAACCATGTTTGGAAACAGACCCGCTGGGACAAATGGGTCCACCAGATTCTACTCTAATGTTCCAGGATTAACCAAAACCAGCTGGAAAAACCCAGCTCCGATGAGGATTTCGGAAGCTTCAGCCACTCCGCAACGAAAACCCCATATCATTACATAGCGCGATTTTTGTAAGTAAGAACAGTAACACAGGACAAGACATGCAGCTTATAACCCCATAATGAGGCAAAGTGTAGAGCAGAGCAACCCCTAATCAGCAGATCGACGAGGGGATCATCGCAAAGAAGGCAATCCACGTCCAACCCACAAAACTAAGTCAAATGAAAGACTACAAACGATCAAAACCCCTATTAATTTCTTTTTTTATTTAAAAAAAGAAAAATCCTCACCCCGGAGAGTGCTGCAGGAGTGCTCATCGTGCCGAACCCGATCCGCTCTTGAAAACCGCGAGAAAAACAACGACACTGATTGATGAGATCTGGTCTGTGGCTATGGCGTGTGGAGGGGCCTGTCTTCCCCTTCACTCATGCGACAGGCAACTCCTTCTCGTTCACAGACCCCTCATCTTTTACATTCTACAGTCCAAATCTTATTCATCAGGATTATAAACGGTCAAATCTGTGACCAAATCCTTCTTTATCTTTATCCTCAATGATATTTTATAATGTACATCATTCGTATATCACATCCATTTTTTGGATGAATCTTCGGCGAAACGCTTGCGATGACCCAGTCCCGTTTGTCGACTTGTCACCGACACAATCCGCCATTGAGGTGAATTCTACAGCAGTGGCCGTGTGTTCGGATCTTCTTCAGTTGGGGCAGGGAAGAGCGTCAATTCGGTGAGGACCCATTAATGGATTTGTGTCGGTGGGTAATATTGGCGAGCACCTGCTCTAAGATAGCCACAAGTTTTGTTGCCGACCTCAACGCATGATATCACATCTTCTTCTAAAGAACTCCTTCAAGCTATGTGGGCTGAATGAAGGTCTTCGGAATCAAGCGATCTTCTGTTATATGAGGACATTTGATAAAACGTTGCGTGGCTGGTTGGGTTGAGTCAAGGCATTGATCTCAGAAAAATCTGATCGTTGCAGCAATGTGCAATTTTCGATGAGCTTGGATGAGTGTGGGATATTAGCATGATGCGGTGTGTGCAAGGATTTAAGATGCATGCGCGCATGCATCTTCTCTTGCAATGTCGTTGAAGATGCTTTGGTGGCTTCGATCTGGTGAGGTGGGACCCAACTTGGTGCAACCTGGTTTAGCTTTAAGGCTAGCTGTTCAGAGAAGTCTTAAATTAGCCTGTGATATTGAAACAAAATAATGAGGGTAATTTTTTTTCTTCTTCTTCCGCTTGCGCAATGTTTGTGTCTCGGAAGTAGAAAGAGCAAGAGATTTTACTGCTTCTGGTTGTATCAGCTCTGAATTAGGGTAACCTATTCTTGAAGTCTGACTATGTTAGATGCATCTCTTGTGATCACGGCTTGTACGCACCATAAACAACCTGTTTGATTCCGAGGTTCACTTATAAACACTCTGAAAGACATAGTCACTACTGAATGCCTTGCAATTAACTTGACAGTTCATGAAGAAGCGAAATCGGTATTCAAGGGAAGTTACGAAAAGATGCTTGTTAACACGATTTGGAGAACAAAGGGGGCATCTAAGAGTTATGTCCATGAAACATGCAGCCGTTGTGCAATTCTTCCAAGTAGCGTTATCAACGAGCCCCAAGCGTTCGTTGCTCTACCCTAGACCTTCCCCTTCACGTACTTGTCCTTGATTTCTACAGAAACACAGACCAACATGTACAGAAGCAAGTGCCGTTACGACAACAAAGAAAACTTAAGATTCTTGTACTTAATAACGCCTCACAGCAGCTGCAAAATCTATCTGGATTGTGGTTTCTACCTAATAAATTGCTCTCTGATGGACCGTATATGGATGTGAAGAAAACCATGCATTGATCAGTGGTTTTGGTAGTGATTGCAGTGCATCCAGAGTATACGTTCAAGTGGAGCTGAGGCTGATCTGTTCGAACACTATCGGAGTGGCTCTTTCATGTCAAGGATGTGATGCTATCAATGAACAGCTCATGAAGAGGAGCAATTCCTGGACTGAAAGCCATGCGTCTGGTTCTGATCCTCGGATAACGGATCGTCTCTCTCGGCCTGTCATAGCAAAGATTGTTGCTCACAAATGAGGCTTCGACCACAAGCTTGCCAGTGGAGTCCCTTCTCAAACATCAATCCTATAGAACTTCACACATGCATCATCTGTGATTCTCTTCATGTGCTCAGTCCCCACTGTTGATTGTTACACTTCATGTGCCCCAGATGAGATGTGGTGAGCTTGCCAGATATGTCTTCATGGGCTTGAGGCAAGATGGTGGCAGAGTGAGTCATTTTATATCTCATTTCTTGTTTCAGAAACAACGATGGCTTCGAATTCCAAGAGAAGGTTTTTAACAAGCTCTGATGCAGTTCTACTTATTCTTGTAAGTACTAACCGTTAATTTTAAGAGGCAGCTTCTGTGCTGAGGTGGGTTCAGGCAAGATATGCGGCTCTGTGACAACAACGTTTGCATGAAAACAGGCAAAAAATCATAGCCATGTTTTAACAGATCCTAGCGAGATTTGAAGTCTTGTAATTGAACCTGGAAATCTGTTGTTCTGGCCGCTTTACCACGTGGTCAGCTAAAAGAAATAGATATAAATAAATATATATATATATATATATATATGTTCCATTCGTCTCATTTGTAAACAACCAACAAGGGGACCGAGTAGATGTTTCAGTCTATATGAAATTTATAAACCCATGATTATATTCTTGTTTTTTCTTCCTTTTTTAGGGATAATATTTTAGTATTAAATTTAAAAGAAGTTTTAAAACCTTGGTAATTTTTTTTGAATAGTCTATATATCTTATTTAAGTTTTAAATAAGAACATATTCTTAAGTTTTAAATTATAAATATGTGTATTGAAATAAAAATTGGGGTGTTAAAAATTTTCTGATAATATCTACTTTTATAATATAAATATATATAATTTTATTAATATAAACTATTTCTTATTATGAAAGCAGATTATTAAGTATCATATAATCCTAATATTTTAATGATGTACTATTAATCGATACTTATTATCAAAATTAATTTTCAAGTGCATACTTTCAGTTAAATTTATATGTTTATTTTAGTAGCAATAATTTTCTTATTTTAAATTTTTTTTATATAATCAAATTTTTAAATCCAAATAAAAATCATTTGAAATAATATAGTATTTGAACAAAAAAATATTACATAAATCACCTTTATACATATGTTAAAATTGTATAATTATTTTTTTGTAAATTGTTATAACCTTCACAAAAGTTGATTTAGTTATATTTTCAAAAACTAAAATTTAAAGATCCAACCAGTATTAATATTTAAATGATTTATGCCTATACTTTAATTTTTATTCTAAACATACTTATGTAGTATAACATTAATTATTGGAAGTATTACACAAAATTTAATCAAATTTAATATTTTAAATTCTTGTATGTAAGTTGTTAAAAAAAAACTAAATATGAACTTCTGAATTTAAAAAAAATAGAGAAATCACACCAATAAAAGATTATGTATTCATATTTATTTAAAGATGTGATATAATAGTTTTTTATACTTCCTTGTCATTAAATTTTAAAATTATAAAATAAGTTTTGGATGAAGTATTGTAATAAGAAAAATTAATGCATGCACTAATATGTACTTAATTAATAAAATACATGTAGCAAATAATATTGTTATTAAATACCAAATGTATCCTATTTTATAATATATAATTATCATCAATTAATTTTTAAATATTTTGATCATAGTAAATTTATCTTATACTAAAATTTATTTATGTATATACCCATACATATATAAATATAGTAATAAAATAAATCAAAAGAATTTTAGTAACTTAATTTTATTTTTTTATTTTATTACTTAAATTTATATAGAATATTATTCTTTAATTAAATACTGATTTTCTAAAATAGAAATAATCATATTTAAAAGTTTTCAATTTTTTTCCACAATTGAGAGATTCTATCAAATTTTAGGGTTACAAAATATTTTTGAAACTATATATTCTTAATGTATACTTTTAAATCCAATTTTTAAGATTTGATTGAAGGAAATATATATATATATATAGTTAGGTTTTAAATAAATATTTATTTATTAAATATATATATATATATATTTATAGATATTAATATAATTTAATAATATATATATATAGATAAAGATATATATATGCCAATGATTATGTCAATGTTATTTATTTATTTACATTTTGATAGTATAATAATAACTGATAGTATATATTTTTGGTGATTTATTTATAAAATAAACTTAATGATTTATATATAGATATAGATATATATATATATATATATATATATATAAACAAAAATGAGTGTGTATATAAATGTCATAGATATATATCTACTGAAATTATTATTTAGATAATATGAATAAATAGAAGTAGGTAAAAGTAGATTAATTTGATAATAACTTTTAAAAAAGCTTTCTAGAAGCTTCTTAGACAATATTTTGACTTTACATGTGTTTGTAGTTGATTGGTAGATTAAAAGCTTAGTCAATAAGCTAACCATGTATGTCATGTGTTGGTAACTTGTAGAACAAGCAAATTATATGGCGCATATATAGAAAACTTGCCATGCAAGTTAAGATACGTATCATGCAAAGTTAACACGTTTTTGGAGGTCCTACAAAATGTTGCCACATAGATCCAAGGTAGATAGTATATATATAGGCATGAATGAAGCCTTCTTTACTCTTGTCAATTCTTTTCTTGTTTCTAGTCTAGTTTCAAGAATCTTTAATTTTCTTGTCTTTTAGGAATAGCTATTCCAATTTTCTTTTTAATATATGTACTTCTCTATTTCTATTTTGGCATGTTTCTTTGAAAGAGTCTCATTTGTTTATTTGTTTTTATTGAATTCTTGCCCTTGACAAATTGATAAGAGTACACTTATAATATCAAAGCTTTGTGTTTTTTAGATTAAGAGTGGATTATTTCTTTCTCTTGATAAGTCTTAAGTATATTAGAAGTTGCAGATTATCTTCTTTTAAATTGATATTGTTCTTAGTATTTTTTTATTTATTTTCAAGTCTTTTTTTTTATTTATCTTAAGTAATATTAAACATTGTCTCTTCTTTAAGTGTTATCATTGCAAAGCTTCTTGAAATGAAAAGTGCAATGGCACAAATACATGAACAATTGAAAACGTTAATAGTTATAATACATCAACTCAATTTACCACCATAAGGAGCAATAAGAATAGCAAGAAGCAAAGATATAGAGATGATTGGAGCTGCTTCAATATCTATATCAAATCATGTCCCTTCTCCTATGCTAGAACATCCTTCAATTGTTAGAAAATCAAGGATTGCATTGCTCAAAAAGTTTAATAGTACAAGATCTAAGTTTCAAGGATTTATGAATCAAATACAACTTGTGATTGAACTTCAATCCCAAAGCTATCCAATTCCTAAATTCCAAGCTAGATTCATTAGTACATTCCTTTTAAATTCAGCATTATTATGATTTTTATCTTTTTTTGAATGATGAGATCTAATATTAAATAATTTAGAAGCTTTTTTAGTAGAGTTTTGATCCATGTATGGAAAACATGATGCAATTTGTATTGCAACTAATAAAATTTATATTTTGCGACAAAAGAATTGATTGGTAACATTATATGCTTCAAAATTTTAACAACTTACAATTAATATCAAATAGGATGATATTGCACTTGTTAGTCAATTTTTCTACGGATTACAATATGAAGTAAAAAAATTGATGCTGAATTTACTTGATCCTTAAACATTGAGTCAAGCAATTGACTTTGTTGTGAAGTATGACAATCGACTTTATAAATTTTAATCTAAGAGTTGTATAAGTCTATCTCAATATTACTATAATTCAATGTCAATACCAACATCTTATCAACACATACATTTGAAAGGAAAGGATATGCAAATTGATGCAATATATTTCAAACTTCTTACTAAATAAGAAAAGATTCATTATTGTCAAAAAGGATTAAGCTTATATTATGGAGAACCTAAAGACACTACTCAATATTGTCCAAAGAAGCAATGCAACTACAAAATGAGGAGTACGACCATCAAAGAAGATAATATGTCAAAAAATGAGTTTGTTCAGCTACAATAGGAAACATGCGGTTGAAACATTGTATAATACCTAATGAAGGTCCTATTCTCTCTTTAAAAGTCTTTTTTATTTTAAAATAAATATTAATTTAGGACATAAACATCACAAAGCCTCTCTTTTATTAAATTCAAGAGCCTCAATATATTTCTTAGATGAAGAGTTTATTAAAAGACATAGCATACTTTTAGTGAAGAAAAATAAACTTGTTCACATAGAAATCATAGATAGTTGTCTATTGTCTTTAAAAAAATATTACTAATAAAACCCTTCCTAAAGAAGTAACAACCAATAGTAATAATAGCTTTGTAGTATTTAATATCATTAGATCTCTCTCTAATCCAAATATTTTAGATTTATCATGGTTAAAAAAATATAATCCAAAAGTAGATTAGATTTCTTGTAGTCTTCACTTTTTTTTAAATATAAATAAAAATATAGTCGATCAAGTAAAAAGTCGTAAGTCTAGTGCAATTATACTTGTATTTATAAGTGCAAGAACTTTCTTGCATGCTGCAAAAAAAAGATTACTTTGTGTTATTTACAATGTACATGTTTCTAATGGTAGAAAGACTTCAAGTGGCATTCCAAGCCAATATTAAGATTTTCAAGATGTACTTGAGAAGAAGAATGTAGATACTCTACCAAAACATCATCCCTATGATTTCTCAATCGACCTTTAAAAAAGAGCTCAACCATTGTTTGGACTAATTTGTAGTTTATTGCAAAATGAGTTGGCTGAAGCTTAAAGAATGTATTGAAGAAAATCTAGTCAAGAATTTTATATGCTATCGTATTGTAATTGATTATAGTATGTAAAAATTAATCAGGACATATAATATGTTTATAAGTCTTGGTGTATGTTAGAATGGTTAATATATTAATTTAAAGAAAGTGAATATAAAAAAAATTATTTTGAGTTTTATCTATTTTGATTATAGCATTTAAAATAATTATAGGATCTAAAAGTTTAGTATGAAGCCTTGAAAGGAGATTAGAGCTTAAAAAAGAAAATATTAACTAATAGGAGGCTTATTGGGAGGGATGAAAGCAAGGCATGGTTGGATGAAGGTAAGGAATGATAAACTTTATTCCTATTGGTCAAACGCCATGCTCAATGGACTTCAAAGAGGTTGCTTGAGGCCTTATTAAGGATAAGGATTTCCCTTTCAGCGTCATTTGAGCTTTGGAGGGTAGATTCAACAAGTTTAGGTTTTCAGATACAAATTAGATACAAATTTTGTATGATTTGGAGTTTTTTGAAGGAGTTATTGGCGCTCAAAGTTAAGATATCAATTTCATATCTACTATCACTCTTTGGAGCAAAACATACGTTTATAGAGAACAAAGAAGGATCGGTGATTAGGATTGAAGAGAGTTCTTCTTCAACCATACTTTTCATGTATTGTATGATGAATTTGGAATTTGGATGAAGAAATTATAGAAGGTTTAAGTCAGCACATCCAAATCAAAGGTAG